AATTTTAATTGTGAATTGTAATAAAAATTAAGTTTAAATAAAACTGCGACTTTGATAAATCGGAAGTTAATTCAATGATTGTCACCGAAAAACGTCAGAGGTAAAAAAATTACTATTATTTTTGAGGTTACGTGTACTTCAAATTATAAGGTTTGTTCCAACAGGTCTTCTGATTATCAGATGGACGTCAGATTCATGCGCATTGAAAATAGTCCGTTCCTACAGAGCCACGGATAATCCGATGAACTGTCAGTAAAACGTTCCAACAAATTTTCTGATTCGTACATGAATGTGTCAGAGGATTGTCAAATCTATCAGAGGTTTATCGCTTGTACAAATAATCAGCACATGCGCTTTTGGGTCATTTCTCGTTCGTGCCATTTTTAAATGTTTTGGATTTAAGTTAAGTTAGATTAGTTGGCTTTGTACTCGTATTTCTATAAATTGAAGTTAGGTTGTGTAGTACATTTTTCTTTTTGTAACTAGGTATTTGTAATAAAAATCGACATTTGAAATTTTAAAAATCGTACATAAATATATTTTTCAAAAGATAAGAAAATGAGTGATATTGAAAGTGAATATAATTCGGAAATGTCCTATTCGTCTGATGAGGAAGATATTTTAATGTCACATCGAACAAAAAATACAAATTTTCTTGGTATGAATCATATATTTTTTGAACATTTCCGTGTGAGTCGTAATGCATTACAAGATATTGTAAATTCATTTGAAGCAAGTCAGTTTTATAAAACACAGTCTGGGCATTTTGGAAAAACGACAGCTACTGAACAAGTAAGGTGGTGATAAATGGTTCTTATCACACTATGGTACATGGGTCACCAAACTGTTAGTTTTCGAGATGTTGCCGATAGGTTTAACATTACTATAAGTTCATTATACAGAATTTTACGACGAGTAATATTTTGTTTAAGTAATATGTCGCCCCAAATAATTAAGTGGCCGACGAATGAAGAAAAAATGATAAGTGAGGAACATTTTCAAGCCAATGGATTTCCAAGGGTCATCGGCGCAATCGACGGATGTCATATTAAAATTGATAAGCCTGATGTTGACAGTGACTCCTACATCAATAGGAAAGGATATTACTCAATACATGTCAGTTAATGATTTCAAAAATAGGTATGGTTATTTCTATTTTGTGATCATCTTTTTAGATGCAGGCAGTATGTGACCACCAGAAGAAAATTATTGATGTTCTTGTGAGATATCCTGGTTCGGTACATGACAGCCGAGTTTTTAAAAACTCTACCTTGTATCGAACATTAGAGCAAAAGTGTGGAAATTATTTTTTGTTGGCAGATAGTGGATATCCATTGACTCGACATGTGTTAACTCCTTTTAGAGATAGGGGACAATTAACAGACAGGCAGATAAATTACAATGTCAAACTTGCCAGAAATCGATACAAGATAGAGCATTGTTTTAGAATGCTGAAACAAAAATTCCGACAAATGTACCATGTTAAGATCAGGGACATTCGATTTATAGTTCATATGATTCGAGCAGCATGTGTTCTGCATAACATAGCCCTAAATGATGGAATTGATTAAGGCGATATTCCTGAAGGTATGAACGAAGATCAAATTAATAGAAACGCTGAAGATGACATAAATATTGAAGAAAACAGAAATGCGGAAGATGACAGAAATGCTGAAAATATTAGAAACTTTATTGTTGAAATTTTAGATATTTAAATAAAATGAATTGGTTACTAAAAACAGCTTTTTATTAAATCCAAACAAAACTAGTGACATATAAACAAAAACTAAAAGTATTTATTTGAACTCATGAACTTAACAATAAATTATTTTACTCTGCTCAATTAGCTTTAAACTTTTTACTTATACAGTAAGGACGTAGGCATATAGGTTGGAATTTTTCTAACAAAATGCTTTCACAGGTCAATTGTTATTTTCTACTGAGCGTCTTACGTTACAATTGGATGTACTAATGACGTCATCGATTTTCTTTTAAATAAAACATTTTCTTTTCATTTTAAAATTCCTCAATAGACGATTACAAAAGTGTATGTAATACTTATAGTCCAGTCATTGGTTTCTGAACTCGAGACAAATGTTATATTAGAAATTTTGAATCTAAAATTTTATTGAAAGGGCTGGTCTAATACATTTTCAATTTTCATTAATTTAAATAATTAATAGAATACATTTCAAAATTAAATTAAATGTTAAAAGTACATGCCATTGACTTCCTGGCAATAACCAAGTCAGTTTCTAAATTCCTCTGACACTCTGGTCTATATAAGTTTTACAAATATTTTTGTAATCGTCTATTACTGGGGAATTAAAAAATTAAGAGAAAAATATGTTCTATTAACAAAAAAATCGATGACGCCATTAGTACATACAACTGTAGCATAAGATGTCTCATTTTCCTTCGCAGGGGTTCTAAACTAAATCCTTGCAGATGACACTCCCTCCCACTTTACAAAATTCCAGCTGGAGGATACTATTGTACCACCTCTTTGACTATTTTAAACTACAAACACAAAAATTGAAATTTCAAAATATACAAACATAATAGACAACCTAGACATCATGACAAATGCACTTTTTTTCTTTTAATATCACATTTCTTTCTTTTATTAATTCATTTCTTATTTTCATTTGTTCAACTTTTTCTTTTTCGATTGCAAGTCTCTCATCATAATATTTTTTTTTTTGATTCGACATAGTTTCTAACACTGTAGACCTTCTTTTCCGTAGTTTTTTATTTTGTGTTGAAACTATTTTAGTTTCGGCAGAACCTATACTTCTTTTTTCCGATTCGTCAGCCCTATTTATATTTTCTTTCTCTATTATGTTAATATTTTTTTAACACAAAGGCTCATTAACCAGCGTGTCTGCCTCAAGTAAAAGTTCTGGAAATACATTTTTTTTTTACCCAAAATACAATTCATTTCCTCTTCATATTCAATAAATTTTTTTCCTCTGCCAGTGGACGACTGATCATCAACGTATTTTTTATATCCTCGTTCCAAGACTCGCCAACGATTTTCGCACTGGCTTGGACTTACTTTTCTTTTTAACAAATTTTGCAACTTATCAGCAATTTGTTGCCACATTATTTTAATGGTTTTTATTTTAAAACTCCCCACTTTTCTTTATATAAATCTAAAAACAATTTTGTTGCGTTTGTAGTCCATTTAATGTCTCTGTCCACCTCATAAGTATTTAGGTTAGGTCCCTGAATAATAATAAATTCAGACAATTCGTTTGGGACAGCTAAAAAAATATATTATGTTGACAAATATTAAAATATTATTTAAAAAAATACATAATTTACCTAACACGTCATTATTTTGTTCCATTGCTTTATAATATCTATGCGTTCCAACAAGTACAATTCTCTGACACAAAAATGGACGTACATCTGACTGACATGCGCAGTGGTTAGTTTACGAATGCATTCATGTACGAGTCAGAGACACATCAGAACTGAGCTGTTGGAACGAACCTTTAGTTTATTTTGTTTTTTGTTTCAGAGTCTACAGAATATACCCAAGAATATATACAGAATATGCCCAATTATGCAATGAACAAATTTTTTGTTTCCAACAAAAGACAAAAGGAAGTTTTAAAAAGTATGACAATTTTATTTTATATTTTTTTAGGGCCTTTTTTTTCATCAAGTTGAAAGTTACTACTACAAAAATCGATTATTTTCAATCAATCGATTATTTTGAATAAATTTTATTTTCTTTTTGTAATTCCTTTAAAATCGATTATTCCATTATCTTAAAAACGAAAATAATTTATTTAAAATGTTCGATTAATCGAAAATAATCGATTAATTTTAACGGATAAATCGATTTTCATAAAAAAATAACAGAATAATCGATAAATCGATTATTTTTGTAACCCCTATCGTTCGCTTGCTTTTATCCGAGCATTTAGCTCCAAAATTTAAAAATTCGGATTTATTGATCCTGTTATCTTTGAAACCGCATTCGATTGTATAATAAATATTGTTAGAATTTAAATTTTTTTAGTAAACGACGATTATTTATTTAGGGGTTTCTAATGTAACATTTTAATAACAATGTGACTAACTCCCGTAACTTTAGTTGTTTTTTTGCTTATAATATATCATATTGTGCGCTTTACTTTGTGATAAGACTTAAAACTTAAATGTCACTCCCGATTTGACCTAAAATAAGATGAACCTTAAAATTTTAAGTAGGTCATCCTGTATTTCACCTAATATTCTTATAAAAATACCTTATAAAAATAAAATTTCGCCAGCAACTATGCTTCTTTACTTCTTATTTATCTACCAAAAAGGGATAAAAACCACCTTTAGTAAATATTATTATAAAACTACTTTTCAAAAACAAAATTTCGTTAGCAACAATGCCTATTTACTTCTTATATAAATAAAATTTTCAAAATGTTGCCCATTTGTAAATTTATGTATTACGAAATCTGTTTTTTAAAATATGTATTTGATGCTTAATATTCATTGAAATCCCTTAATGCGGATCTGAAGTATTCAGCCTAAAGTATCATGGCAGCTTTATGTCAAAACGTTAATAAATATTAACCGCTGAAAACGAATATATTTCTTATTTTTCATACATACATATTATTTGTATATACAATTTTTCACGATATATCGTGGCATTTTCAAATGAAATTAAATAACTAAAACACTTTAAATTGCTAATAACACCAACAAATAAATCAAAAAACGGCGGTCCATGATGATTCACTCACGCAGGGATGGGCGTAGAATAGAAACGTCGAAGCAATTCGGGTGGCGTCGTGGACACAATGATTTTTAATTGGTGGGTTACTTAAGGTTGTAATAGACAACATGCGCTATGTGCAATGTTACATCTCCGGTCTCTTTAATCTAAGATACTTATGTAATAGATAAAGAACTAATAACTTTTTCAGCATTTTTATTATTTAATTAGAACATTTTTTTTTTTTCGTAAAGCTACTTGTAATTTTTACCTGAATAGACGAATCCCAAAAATCGGCCTCTCTCCTTGAGAGGAATCCATTTTCCGAAAAAGGAACACAAGGCACTCGGAATAAATCCTGAAGAAAATCCTTGTAAAAATCTACAAATCAACACTCCTTTTGAACCAACGCCAGCAGCAACTGATGGTATTAAATATCCTACAAAGGAACAACCGCTCATAGCACCAACGAACATCCATTTTGGTCCCAAAAATGTTGTTGTTAACCATCCTGCGAATAATTGTGGAAGCCAGTAACCCCAAAAAAATGCGGAGAGTATAAGATTTTTGTCGGTCCAATCGTACGTCTGTAATAATTCACATTATTATTTTTATAGGAACATTCAAAGATTCCACAACAAATGTCCAATTGACTAGAGATATATAGATATGAAAAATATTTACAGAACGGTAGGCACCATTAAACTCCATGTTTTATAATTAATTTGTATTATAATTTCAGTCTGGAACAAATTGTTTTTCAAACGGATAAGCGTATATTTTATTTTCTATTTGAACTACAAAAAAAATACGTGTAGCACTCGGGGACTGCCGCGGTAAAGCTATTGCATGGCATTTTTATCAACTTATGCAATTATAATTATTTATTTATTTTATTTATGGAGGATTTTTTTTCTTTGGTATTAATTCAAGTTTTTTCTTTAAAAAAGAGATAGAATCAGTTATTTTTCGATTTTTGATTTTTCGATTTGTCGATTTTTCGATTTTTTGATTTTTCGATTATTCGATTTTTCGATTTTTTGATTTTTCGATTTTTCGATTTTTCGATTTTTCGATTTTTCAATTTTTCGATTTTTCGATTTTTCGATTTTTCGATTTTTCGATTTTTCGATTTTTCGATTTTTCGATTTTTCGATTTTTCGATTTTTCGATTTTTCGATTTTTCGATTTTTCGATTTTTCGATTTTTCGATTTTTCGATTTTTCGATTTTTCGATTTTTCGATTTTTCGATTTTTCGATTTTTCGATTTTTCGATTTTTCGATTTTTCGATTTTTCGATTTTTCGATTTTTCGATTTTTCGATTTTTCGATTTTTCGATTTTTCGATTTTTCGATTTTTCGATTTTTCGATTTTTCGATTTTTCGATTTTTCGATTTTTCGATTTTTCGATTTTTCGATTTTTCGATTTTTCGATTTTTCGATTTTTCGATTTTTCGATTTTTCGATTTTTCGATTTTTCGATTTTTCGATTTTTCGATTTTTCGATTTTTCGATTTTTCGATTTTTCGATTTTTCGATTTTTCGATTTTTCGATTTTTCGATTTTTCGATTTTTCGATTTTTCGATTTTTCGATTTTTCGATTTTTCGATTTTTCGATTTTTCGATTTTTCGATTTTTCGATTTTTCGATTTTTCGATTTTTCGATTTTTCGATTTTTCGATTTTTACATTCCAAATAAGTTTTTGGACGGTGTCGTAAAATTTAGAGGGGATCAAAATGTTAGTTATTGTGGTGTAAATTCGTAAATTTATTGGACACGTGTCATAGTATAATTTAATATTAAATTCAACCATAAGAAAATAAGTCAAAAATCTAGAACTAATCTGAAAATGGAACATATTAACAACTCGAATCAAGATTTTGTTTGTTCTTTTCCAAATGTAAAACAATCAATTAATAAACTTAATTTTTATTACAACCTGTATAATTTTCATTTTGCTGGCGCAAAGCATGGCATCACTTATTTGTGCTGCATTAGTGTGACGTTAATGATCCAAACAAAAATAAAATTGACATTTAACCTCAACGATAATTATTTATCACATTGTTTGATTTCTATGATCATTTTTTTAGAGAGGGGTACTTCCGAAGTAAAATGAAGCTCAGATAATGGGATCCATGATAAAATCAAGATTTGATGATGCGATTCATAATAAAATCATGAAAATCTTTATTTTTGGATTATTTTTTTTTTATTTCTTTTATAACTTGTTCATGATATAAACTAAAGGATTATTTAGGTAAAATATCAATTATAATATTTTAAAAGACATAAAATCACTTAAAGTTAAAAAAATAAAAATTTAGTCTGCTTTGTTCATTTTTTACGTCATCACTAATGCACTGCAATAATTCCAGAACAGCTTTGATTTCCAAACAAGTCGAAACTAAAAAATAACTTTGAATTTCATTCTCTTGACATAATTTTTCTATACGAAACATTCTTAGACCTACCGCCATAGTTGTAAATATTGTAAAATTATACTTTGTGCTGTTATTCGTTGTGACGCATATAAAAATTAATCCTCATTTATTTCTACACTGGGAAGGAAACTCGCAAGGAATTTTCCAGATACCAATAATTATTCGATCCACTACAAAACATCAAGAGCTTTAAAACGAAGGCTCTAAATCTCTACAGTTTGAATCTAGAGCCCTTGAAGGGTTTTCCCTTTTTATTGAGCCACCTTGCTATAGTGGTAATTCTGTAATTCAATACGATTATTTGTAATGAGTGTTAAATTTTACGATTTTAACATAAATTGTAATTCTGTAAAAATAAAAATAACGCATACATTAAATTTTCAAAAAAAAGTAGTTCAAATTTGCCATAAAAGTTTTAAGTTCTGTCAAATAAATGTCATTTCTTTTGTCATATTTATTGTATCTGTCTATTTTACAGAAGAATATTGAAAAAGTAGCGACCGAATTTACTTTATAAGCTATTTGGTAGGCCATCAATTTTCAATATAAACAAAACTAACCCCAGTAACCTTAGAATATTGCCCTTCTATGGCAAATTAATTACTAACTACAAAAAGTTTATATATACTATAAAAAATATAATTTCTAAATAGTATTTGTGTAATTTCAACTGGTACAATTACTTGAGTACTTTCCAAATGGTTCATTTTCATAATTTTCTTGCATTATAAGTTGAATTAAACATTCAAAAGTCATAATTTCTTATATGTTAAGTTCTAAAGCCTACTAATTAGTACCTGTTAATATTATCAAATTAACGCATAAAATTAACACATTTATGTTAAAGTTTTAACATATTTCTGCTTATAGAATAGATTTTTGCGGCACAAATGAACTATTATCTTAATTATGACAAGTTTTTCATATTTAACATACGTATATTTTTAACGTCCGTTTAATTTTAACATATTGGTTATAGAATTACCACTTATATGTCTGAAAAATCCTTAATTACTTATGAAATAGCAGATTGGTTGGAAAGAAATAAAATATAAAAAAATTTGGAAATTAAATACGAATAATATTTTACTCCCTGCCAATCACATTAAATAAATGCCATGGAATCATTTCTTTTAGTTTTAGTTCTTTTATTTGAAATATGAAATATGAAAGGTACTATGAATATACTTAATGGAATATTTTTAGAACTATGTTTTTCTATTGTCAATATCTTTTAAAAATACTTACTGGGATATCCGGATTGGAGCTGGCTGAAGGATCTGTCATTGCGACGATACAAACGGACATATAAACTTTTGATAAAGCCAAAAGAAATACTCCAGCTGCTAGTAACATCATTTGCGTATGCCTTGTTCCATACCATGGTCCTAAATATCAAAATTATATAATAATATTAATATTAATATTAATGAATTTATTTACACCATTTTACAAAATATAATAATACAATCTTGAGGTACAAATAAGTGAATTTTTTACTTGTTTATATATATATTTATATATTTTTAAATATTAATGTCAAATAAATTTTTGTTAATATTTATTATTGGGTCCCTATTAAAAATTGTCAAGATTTATCATTAGTGTTTGTGAACTATTACGAAAGAATTGGCTATTGTATACAGCTAGTTTAGTTTAACACGGACTTTTTGCAGGGTACAAAACAACTTCTATTTTGCTATTCTTGACTGTATTCAACATTTATTTGAGGATAATTCAAGAATGAATTTGTTCTACTTTTATTGGAGAATGAATTACGTGACTTTCTTCAAGAGAAAGCTACATTATAATGCTTTCAAACATTAAAAATTTCTTTAAAACTGCTATGAGTCATAAACTTCACTCGCTACTTGCAAGGGACACTTGTATATAGAGGGTATACGTCAAAAGATTTCGGCAAATCAGCAGCCACATTTTCATCTCTCTCTATCTCTCTCTATCTGTATCTGTAAAGTAGCACTTAGATCTCGTAAGGTACAGTTCATCAAATTTCTAGAGGCTTTCGACGGCTAGACAGAGAAAGCACTACTGACAGGCATCCCGACGGATTTACGCAATGAAAGTACACTCTGCGCATCAAGTATTTCACTATTTCATTCAGACGTAAATGTCAGATGTAAATTTCGCTAAAACATTTCTTTTATTTTCGTTTGTGTTTTTTGCTCATTACAGTTTAATAGAACCTAAGTATGGAGTTTAATAGCAAATTAAGAGGCCGCGTGATTAACAGTCAATCTCGCGAAATAATAGCCAATGTTATAGAGTTTATGAGAAGAGAAGGAAACTTTAATTCACCTTCAATACCATTTAAAAATGTAAATGATCGTGTTGCTGCAGCCACAGGAGTATCTAAAAACACTGTCGTCCGCATTTCTGGAGAGAAAAAAAGAATCGATAACCGTGAGATATCGGAATTTTCATCACCAAGAAAAACCATTAAAAAACCAAAAACAGTTAATGATATAGATGAAGCTGCACAAGAATCAAATTTTATTTTTTTATTATTAGATAGCTATTTTTGTTTCTGAGTTGTGTTCATTTACAGGCTCAATTTTTTTCCGTTTCTCCTTTTTGATTTTATATGGGGTTTCAAGTTGTTTTTGACTTATTTCGACGTAAATCACAACAACACACTTTTTTAATAAAGCAAAAAAGTGTTCAGAGGTATATGTACGTGTAAACTACAATTACAAAAAATTGATATGAAACCCATGAAACCACCAACAAAAATGTAAAGCTAGCTTCCGTACTAGAACATGGTGTCATTCGTCGAAATAATTTATCGTTTTGTTTAATAGATCAAGAAATGTAAATATTCCCCTGTTATTTTTTATAAAATTATAAGAGAAATAAATTTTTTTCTAAATAGTATAGTTTATTATTTTGTAGAAAAACAAAATTTCGAAAATTTTAGTAATGTTTCAGAAACAACCGTTATTAATAATAGGTACCATTTTCCTTAATAAGGTAGAAATAAAATATAAACTATTTCCACGATTTACAAAGGCCTACAAAAAAATTATAGGTATTTTCCGCTATCCTATAAAATTTATATTTTCTGACTCAATTTCAAAAGGTTGAAGGAATTCCAAAACACCTTTTATGGCATAATAATTATTTTCAATTCTACATACTATCTTTAGCTGCTTTTAAAAACGTTCTAAGAAAGTCCAATCAGACCAATTTAATCCCTAAACTATTCCACACTTTTAAAATTTAATTACCTAAAAATATTAAAAACTATTTAAAATAACTTGTTTAGCAGACTGTACAATAGCTATCTTAGTCACACGTAGCGCGTTCTCTGTCTGGGCGTCGAACACCTCTAGAAATTTGATGAACTGTACATTGTACTTTCTCCAGGGGTTAGCACCTGCCTCTCAACGCCTGCTTGTTATTACTGTGAGGTGTCTGCAGACAGCCATCTTCTCAGCTCATCAAAGTCCTGCAGGTTATTAACTCATCAAAAACCTGCTGTTTGTCGCTGGGGGGTGTCTAGTCTCACTGGTCAAAGTCCTGCAGGTTAATAACGTCGCTAAGACGTATCTAGATGCCCCATTTTTAAAAAGTGGCCATTTGGTGGGCTTCTACCACCCCTAAGGTAAATGCTCGGTTTAGGCCATCTTGCCTTATCTGGAGTACTACCAGTAATATTATAAGATTCAGGGAATGAGGCGACAAAGCAAAAAATGCAATTATATCTAGTAACAATCTTGTAGGAGTCCATCTGAAAAACGGATTGCAAGGAAGTCTCAAGAAAGTACTAAGTTAACCTGGTCAACTGCCATTAACCATGAATTACGTGTAATAAATTGGAATTTATCTCTTGCATTGTAATTTGTTAATTATAAATATATTGTTTTTCCTTATTGTTAGACTGACTCTTTCCTGTGGCACGTGGCAATAATCAAATCCCGACATGGTAATTTTGTTTAAGAAAATTTAGCGTATGTTTCTGAAAATAATTCTCAGCCATTTGCAATAGCAGGGGAAGATGATACAAGTTATATGCTCGATGGAGGTTCCATACTGCATTGCCTGCCATGGCATAAATACAGTACAGTACATTCAGGGATATAACAAGATCTTATGCGTCGTTTGTGACAGCTAATTATGGGAAGAAACTATAGTTTTTTTGGATTAAACATCAGAATACACCATAAAAGACATGACCCATGTTCACCGAACAAATGCAATTTTCCCCTCTGTGAACTTCACATTATATATGATAAATAAGGAAATATTTCTCACTAATAAGGGAATCAAGCAGAACATTTGGTCTAATCGCTGAATAATACGGCAACATGGATGTTCAATAATTCATGCAGTTGATGATGTTAATATTGTTAAAACTGCAGTGGAGTCTTCAACAATTAAAAATACAATAGTGATAGGAGAAGACACTGATCTCTTGGTATTGCTGATTTATTGGTGTAATCAAGCATATTACCTGCTGTTTTTTAAAAGCAATAATAAACCTTCGAAACAGAATAACATTTATGATATCAATGCCTTTAGATAGTCGCCTGGAAATGACTTAGCAAACAATCTATTATTTATTCGTATACAGAATGTGACACCACCTCGAGAATATTCCATATTGAGCAGCAATCCGTTTTCAAACGTGTTGTTGAAGATCAATACTTCCGTAAACTTGCACTATTGTTCAGCTCAACAGACCTCCCAGTTGTGTTAAAGAAATTGAAAAGAAGATAATGGTATGTTATTTTAGTGAAAATCCAGATTATAGACTAAATACGCAAATATATTTTTTAATATTTTTTAATATTTTTTTAATATTTTTTAATATTTTTTAATATTTTTTAATATTTTTTATTATTTTTTGATATTTTTTGATATTTTTTAATATTTTTTAATATTTTTTAATATTTTTTAATATTTTTTAATATTTTTTAATATTTTTTAATATTTTTTAATATTTTTTAATATTTTTTAATATTTTTTAATATTTTTTAATATTTTTTAATATTTTTTAATATTTTTTAATATTTTTTAATATTTTTTAATATTTTTTAATATTTTTTAATATTTTTTAATATTTTTTAATATTTTTTAATATTTTTTAATATTTTTTAATATTTTTTAATATTTTTTAATATTTTTTAATATTTTTTAATATTTTTTAATATTTTTTAATATTTTTTAATATTTTTTAATATCTCGAACGGTTAGAAGACGTTTACATGAAGCAGGATTAAGCAACAGAAGACCAGCCAAAAAACCCTTGCACACAAAGTTCAGAGATTAAATTTTGCAAGACTACATTAGAATTGGACCATCAATGATTGGAAACGGGTTCGGTTTTCCGATGAAACTAAAGTTAGCCTTAAAGCTCCAGATGGACGTGGACGTGTCTGGCGAAGACAAGGAGAAAGGTTTGCCAGCTGTAATATTTCTCCTAAAGTGCCTTTTGGTGGTGGCTCTAAAATGTTTTAGGGAGGAATTTGCTCCGATGCTCATACGGAGTTGGTCCCTATACGTACTAGGTATATGAATGCCCAATATTACTTAGACAGCATTACTGTCGAACATGGAATGCCGTTTGTTGGGCCCAATTTTTTATTCATGCAGAACAACGCTCGTCCTCACGTGGCTAGACAGGTTATTGGTTACTTAGATGATATTAATGTTTCTTTATTATAGTCCGGATATGAATCCTATAGAACATCTATGGGACTATCTCAAAAAGAGGATTCGAAGTCATAGATCCCCTGTTTCTAATCACAACCAACTCATAGAGGTCGCTATTGAAGAATGGGAGAATATACCGCAAGCTTTTGTTGAACATTTGATATCAAGCATGCCGCGATGCATGAATTCAGTGATACGCGGTATTAGGGTTGACCCAGATGCATTTATTCTCTTTTACTGATTTTTTTTCTTTTTCAATTTGGAGTTATGCTAGCTTATTTATGCATTTCCAGCAAAAACAAATTTTAATGGAAAAAATAAGGCAAATTAAGGTCATGTAAAGGTCATATTCGACTAATTTTTAGGTGTTCATCATTATTTCAATGTAACTTAGTTTTATGTTGTGTTTATATTGTAAATATTTAGATTAATTAAAGTGGTGCGTTAATTTTGTCCAGGAGTTTATTTAAAAATTGTAACTTTAGGGCCGTCTAGCGCTCAAACCGGGCATCTTTGCATTGAATACTTTGTACTGATCTAAGGAATATGTGTTATGTTTTTATAAAGACCATTTACAGGTGAATTTAGTTCGTAGTTGTTATTATACAATATATCATACTTTTATCTAAGATGTTTCAAAAAAGATTTGATAATTGTTTAAAATAAAATTTTCTTACCTCGACTTATTATTACATTTTCAGTAAGTTCTTGTGCTATACTATTGCTCTCCATAGGAATAGTCTGATAAGTTCTACTCGTATTCGGTAAATCAAAATATCTTCGTCGGTCTGAAACAAAAATAATGTATCTTTAATATATATACAGGGTGAAATTTTTTTATTGATATATTGCTATCTCATAAACCGTTGATAACACAAAGTTGGTTAAATGGGGAACAAGTTATATATTTCTAAGTGAAATCTGAGGACGTTTTAAAAACCAAAATATCAGTGCCAGTTTCTGAAATATTTATTAAATAATAATTAGTTTCATTTCTTTTTTCCTCTTCAGAACGTTTGTTTTTATAAATAGACAAAACAGCCAAAGAGTGATCATCCGTAATAAGAATAAAAACATATTTTATTAATTTTGTTTTGAAAATTTATATAAAAAACGTACCTTTTTTACATATTGTAAATTATGAAAATAAAAAATCCCAAATTACCCCTAAGAAATTATGAAAATTACACCCTCATATCCCCAAAGTAAAAACAAACAAAAATTGAACAAGCTAAGAATTAAAGTAACAAAAAAATTAGTGCATCGGTCAAGAGTCAAACCTGGAGCCTCGGACTTAATAATAGTAATAATCATCTGCCAATTGAGCACCAACATATACACATATTGATATCTGAATTCGCAAGGGACCCCGCTCAAACCTTATGGAAAAGTGATCTGTGTGAGATTTGCCTGAATTTTTGATATTGTATAGAGAAAGCCTTACTGATTAAAAGTTGCCATTACAACAAAGTCCAATAACCAATAGTTTCGAAAATACTGGCCAATGAATGTCTCATTCGCTAAACGATCGTCTTTGTATTTTACTTATTGGAAGTTTATGTTGTCTATTTTCTTTTGAACTATACTAAAGGTCATTTTTAAGACTGATAAAAAATTAATAGTTATCAATAGTTATGTTTAAAAAGTAACTATTTTGTACTCGAGTATCGTTACTTGGATACCCGAAGTAACGATCCAAAAACCAAATGATTACATTGATTACTCGTATATTACGGTTCGCGGTGGAGAGAAATATAAACAACCATTAAATCCAACAATAATTAAAATAATTTAATAAGGACAGCCTTGTTACAATTTAACATATTGGATACCTGTCTGGTGACCCTATTGCGTTAGCCGGTTGTCAGAGTCAGAAACGCAATGAAAAAGGTTAGACGAAGGGTACCGAATTTCAGGTTCATGTCGTTCATTTTCCAAGTACCTTAATATGGATGCAATATGATTGCAAGAGCCCAACGTTCCAGCACCCGATTTGCAAGTACAATAATGTCAAATAATGACCTCTTCTTTCTGATCGTTTTCTTTGAGTCGTATAAGTAATCCATATCTGGTAAGTGGTGGCGTTTCGGAATCGTAAGTACACTCTCGATCGGAGAAATCCTAGTTCTGCATTTAGCTGATCTATGTGGAGCTCTTTTATGGCATCCCACTGCAACTTGTCCTATATTTATGTATGTGCAAGGTTGATCTAATACACTCCAACCGTAATATATATTAGATAGTCTAAGTCCAAACTCCAAACGAGGAAAGTCACCCAGGTTAGCAGCATCAATATATATCCACATCGCATTTCGGTTTCTTAACCTGAATTCATCCTCACGAGCCATTATAACATTGACTTAATTCGCCTTGGTGAGCATTGCACGTGCCATGTCTGCGTTGTAGCCTTCCATAGCAATTAATGGGTGGCATTTGTTGATAATAGATAGAGTTAACCAAGGTATTTAATATGGGAAGTATGAATAAGCTGTTCAAATAATTATTTGAAAATAAATTTGATGCGGTCATTTCTGGTATCCACGATCCATTGGATCTTCGTCTCAAGCCGTAAAGTATTGGCATCCTCATTGGAGAGCTCTTGCTGGCAGAGCCTCTAGCAACGGACCTGCATCTCTGTATCCCCTATCAACGACTAGGACATCCCCCTCCAATTGCGCATAATGTCGCCGTCATTGTCATTATCTCTATTCTATACAGTATGCCCGAGCATAGAGGCCTGTGGCACATCGCACTTCATATCTATCTTTTCATTTTCTCCGGCTAGGATTCTTCGGTTTTTAAAGTAGCTGTATATTATTAGTTTTAGGTATGACTGTATTCGTCTTTTCTTTAATGCTTTTATTATGCATTGCCATGGGGCTGATATGAAAACGTTTTTGAAAATATAAAGAATTTCACAAAAATTCTTAAAGCATTTTTTAATGTTTAAACTTATTAATCAAAAGAAAACGCATGTATTGAAATAAAACAAACCATTAGGTTATTATTCTAGTCATTGGATTACATTAAACTATATGTAGTGCGTTAATATTTTAAAAAGTAAACCTGTTATGTTAATTTTAGGTTTTAAATAGAAAGACAGTCTCGAGTAAAAAATATAGGTACTCAAGTAAGTATTTTTGTCCAAAATACTTGCCGAGAGGCGAGACTCTCGTTTCGGGACTCTAAGTCCCGAAACACCTTGATGTGTAAAGTAAGGTTTTGTGCAGCGACTTGTGTACTGTAGGTAACTATCCTAAATTTATTTTAAAAGTGTTGTTGGGTTTTGTTTTGAGGTAATGAATTGATATATAAATAGCAATTTTTATATTTTCGTCCTAAATTTAAATATCTTACATTCATCCTATATTTATCAATATTCACCTATTTTAATATTTATATCCTAAAGATAGATTATTTATTTTTGAGGCTATTTGTCATTATTTTATATATACATTTGTTACTCCCTTTTCCAAAACCAGTTATGAAATATTCCGAGCATTTGTGAAGCCTTGGCGTTTCTACCCCCTAACGCCAAAGCGGCTCGACTATGTTATCTGGTGAATGGCTACTCTATCTGGACTCCAGACCCCTTTGTCTGGTGATACTGCTGCCTTAATCCCTTAATAGTATATAGAAAATAGTATAGATAAAATCCGAAAAACCTCATTTTCGTTTTTTAAGTCGTGCGTTGTTATTATAAAAGATACAAAAAAAATTATACGAAGTTTTTGTTATAAATCAAGTTCCCTATAATCTGCCATGTCAAAATTTTTATTACTTTTCGTATTTGCAGGGCCACCTTCAACTTATTTTTTTACATACGGACCTGGATTTTTCACTGTAATTTTTTATAGCTTTTGTATAGCTAAATACAACGATATGTTACAGTTTACCATTTTACTACGTTTCGTCTATGAAAATATCATCAGCTATGTAGCTTCTGATGATACCGTTTCTTACTTGATTAAAACAAGATAGCTAATTAAATAATAATTAAAAAACAAAAAATGCTTAAAATGTGAAATTTTAAATATTATTTGAAACATAATACAAGAATTATTTAATTACAAAATGAGTTACAATTTTTTATCAAACATGATTAAGTACAACCAGCAAACAAGACTAATGAAGAACGAATTATAGTTGTACATATTCTACAAATAATAAAGCTAATAACAAAAACAAAATTCAAAAACAAAAAACAGTCACAATAGTTGCTCAAAATGTAGTCCATTCTGTTGGATACAGAGTGCAATTCTCCTAGACATTTGAGATGTAGTTTTATTAACCATTCCTGGTGTAATTTTTTCAAATGCATCTACTATTCGTTGACGAAGTTCTTGTAGATTATTTGGCATATTTTTGTCGTAGATTTGGTTCTTTACGAAGCCCCATACAAAATAATCCATGGGGTTAAGACACGGAGATCGAGGAGGCCATCTTATTGGTCCATTGGTACCAATCCAATTACCTCTAAAATATTGATCGAGATACTCTGCAACCCACCTAGCATTTTGTGCACCACAACAGTCTTGCATAAAGTATTGAAGATTTTGTCTTGTTTGTAAGGGCATCTCAACGAGTACTTCCTCCAATAAATGTAGGTATCGGAACTGATTTAAATTACCATCCAAAAAAATCGGCCCAATAATCTGATTATTGATTAGTCCACACCACACATTTTGGGTAAAACGGAACTGTTGTCTAACTTCTCTGATTAAATGGGGATTAGAAGTAGCATACAAATGAAAATATGCCACTATTAGTAAAGGAGCATTCATCCGTCCATAATATATTTTTGTTGAAAGAACGGTTATTGCGCAGTTTTCTACTATACCAACGACAAAACATCAGTCCTCTATCAGAGTCTACAGCGTGTAATTTCTGGACTTTTTTAAATTTATACCCGTGGTATTTACGTTTCTTTAAAATTCTTTTAACCCTGGAGGTTCCTACTACACATTCTTTAGCTATTCGCCTAGTAGAATTTTCAGAGTTAATATGTATTTGGGCAAAAACATTAATTTCATTATCAGTATGTCGAACCTGATATCTAGTTCTCCTTTTTTTCACACTGCTATGCTCTGCCATATTTTTTGAAATATAAGAAAACATCCTCTTATGTTATGTTGATAATGGGGTGTTAATACACTGCGACCTAAAAGATCTATTGTGCCCCCTTCTGTCGCCACTGCACTAAGGAAATGTCTCAATGCCTGTAGCGACCCTTCCAATCCTATTTTCTCAAGGAAACATCCTCTTAGATGGCTGTTGACTGTCAGGATATAAATCTAAACAAGTCTGAGCTGACCGGGCTTCATTCCTATAGCATCTTATATGTACACATCATACATATCTTTCTTCTTTTCTTCAGTATAACGAACCATAATATTTATTTAATTTCAAATTATTTAAGGAGGTCCTTTCGCCACCAATGTTAAATAAAAAATATTAGATTATGACTAAAATTAATTTTTTTCTAATAGTAGATGTCCTTATTTATCTAATAGTGAATTTTTAACTATACCTTATGTGTGTGTGTGTGTTTGTACAGTGTCTTATGAGAAAGTAAGACTTCAACAACAATTTTCGAATTATAATTAATTTTACTATTATTTATTGATTAGATGGAGTAGAAAAAACTAAAAATAAGGTTTTTTAAATATTTAGGTTTTGTTTTTTACAATAAAATATATAGGTTACCGTGGAATTTATTGAGAAATTATTATAAATTTTTTTTTTGTGATTTTTTAATATTAATTTCTCAATAAGTTCCACGATTTAC